ACGAAAAATTAATCAGATCCCATGCCATTTATTTAGATGTTCAGTTGACAGCTTATCAAAATCCACGTTCACAAGCATAACTTTTGAACTCAAAAGAAGACTGTACAACCACTCTTGCTAGCTTAGCCACCGGTATAGGAGTATTTTATCTGGACTTTGATTATGCATACAATCTTCTAATTTCTTTCACTTTCATCTTTACATGTTCTCAACATCTGTCTCTCTACTCTGACATAGCTACTATATTACTGATCTTCCATCAAAATATTTTGCTAATTATCAGTATAGGTACGATGATTACTTGTATTTGAATTAGTTTGCTAATTAAGATTTCTCGGAATAGTGCAATTTAAGGCAGGTAGAAATAGATGGACACAACTGGACTTATTATACTTGTAATTCGTATTAAGCGCGCAGTCAAGTACAAATGAATCATTAGTTAGTGTAAATATCACAATAAGGTTGTGGAGATTGCTGAGTTTCATTGATATCATGAACCAATCAAGGTTAGACTACTATTAAAAATCTGGAAGCACTGGACGACCGCCTAATCATAGTATGGGACTCATCCGTAGGGCGCATCCACTATACCACACGCGGAACTCAAACCTAGGACCTTTTGTCTCGCGCACCAGCGCTCAACCTCTAGACCACTAGGTCAGCACCAAATGGCGTTAATGTCTAACACCAGCTAATCAACGATAGTGAACGATCATCTTCCATTGTCTTCTGTGGGTAGTGTCTCACGACTGAAACGATTTCTAATCCTTTTTATATTTTATACAATAAAACAACTGTTAGATTTTACTGTTGTTATTTTGATTACCATAATCCTCTTCGGTTCGATTACTCAACACTATTTTATAATCACTGTGACATTATATAACTACAATGTGACTTAACCGCTCTGTGGGTATTATTTCTTCTCCCTATTCGTTCTTTGTACTAAATGACGAAATACGAATCCTCATTATACTTAGCTTAAGTGATGTTCCACGCATACCAGCTGTGGTGTAGAAGATAAATACCAAAGACCACAGGCTTTCAGCTGATCAACAGCTCTTTATTGTCATATTGTCGTTGACTCAAACACTGCTGTCAAGTGGTCTAAAATCTATGACCATGTATGAAAATGTATGGAACAACTTTGCTAATACTAGGTGTGCGAGTAAGACAGTGAATCAATAAGTAAGTCAGAGCATGATTTCAAATCTCGGAGAACCTATGAGATGAAACAGGTTCATTTGATTGAGATTTTTCATTTTTTGATGGGGCCAAAACGTTGACAAAAGCTCAATAACCAGTCCAGGCTGGAAGTCACGCAATCTAACTAAAATAAAAAAGTAATCGAAACCAAAGTTTGACTTTATAATTCCGAATAAACTGAGCATTGTATAGATTGACATATCCCAATGACCATGTATGAAAATGTGACAAAAATGCCTTCCGTGCAAACCTTGCACTGGTTACATTGAAGCGCATTTTTGGACAGTTTGACGGACGAACTGTCCATACAATCTTCAATAGTTTCATCCGTCCCCCATTTAGAGTACGGAGACATAGTATTTCCCCCCTCACTCTAAAAGGACAAGGTCACTTTGGAGCGTATCCAACGGCGAGCCACAAAATCAGTTCAAGGACTCAAATCTAAACCTTACGAAGAACGCCTCCATTCACTAAACCTTTACCCATTAGAGTATAGGCGTCTTAGAGGTGATCTATTTATGGTTTATAGTATTCCTAACACTTCTGGACATCCTCTTAAACACCTAATTAAGCTTAGTTCGAATAATAACCTAAGGAGTAACACCCAGAAACTGGAAACACAACATAGCAAGAAGGAATGTAGACACAACTTCTACTCCTTAAGAGTTGTCAAAAGCTGGAATTCGCTGCCGGCCGAGCTAGTCCAAGCGACTTCTCAGGAGTCCTTCAGGAGGCAACTTGATCTGTTCTTAAGGACCAAGGACAGCATCACACTATGATTTACCAATTTCTTTTCCTCTTTTATTGTTAACATACCTAGGTTCCTGCCTGGAGGATTAGGTGATCCCCTGCTACTAGACACGGAAGCCTGTTAAGCGAAAGCTTCTTCTATTCCGTCCACAACCATTTGAACCATTTGAAGCCGAAGTAAGACCACCGCCTCATGTGCCAGTTCATGGCGTACGACTAACTGATACGCGTTGGTTGCCCTTGACATTGACGATGATCGATGATCTGTTCGATATTCAGCGATCCAACTGCCGTATGATTTGGCTAGGGCTCAGTGACATTTCACTGGCTCTACAGCATCAACAGGAAAAAGACACAATGGTTGGCCACACTGATGATCTTGGACTATCATTTCAGCCAGTACGATGTGAATAAAATGAGAAAAATCCCGTACACTTAACTACAACGTGTGGAAAATGATAACATTACTAGAGTTTTTATAACTGTGTTCTGAAACAGTACATTGAACTAATGATCAACGAAACGTCAGGCAGATGAGGGAAGCCGATCTTAGGAAAAAGTGGGAAGACGACAGATATGATAAACAGATGCACTTCAACAAAATACTTCAACCAGATAAAGATGTAATATCAAACATATGTAAAGGTGTTTCACAAACCTAAATATCACTAAAAGAGTTAAATATAATTTTAAATCCAAGTTTTTGACACGAAAAACATGACAGACGTTAAATATTTCGAAACATGAAATAATTCACCCATATTTTTTCAAATTCCGAGTTTTAAATGATCACGCTTAGTTTACGATCGTCAAGAGAGGCAAGTTTGGTTTTGAGGTGTTTGGCCACCGTTTGTTGTTACAATATTTGCTAATTTTAATTGAGTGCATAATTAAGCACACGTGTGTTCATATCGTTCTTTCCTAGTTGTAATATACAACTGACAATATGTGGGTACCAACTTACTTGTCTTTGGGACATCTCATATGATCATATGAGATTGATATATATGTGTTGATGTATGTCAACTTCCGCTCCATAGAAAAAGAGAGGAAGGAAATGAAAGCAGGGGAGATGCACCGAAGCATCTCAACATTAAAAAATAGTCAGAATTTTTCCCGTAGCGTTTACGTAGAGGGAAATGTCTCCATTTGCACCTCAATTTGAAATGAATGTCCGTAAAATGGTCTACTCTCACTAAAGTTTCCACCAAATAAATCCACACAAGATTATCTACTCTTAGCCTAAATAGAAAACTGTTGTAGGCTGGAATCTCTAAATAAGAAGTCAGCTTCTGAATCTCAAAGTCCCACCATTGTAAACAGGAAGATTAGGAGTTTATTGACAAAGATATACATAACTATTAAATTAGTACTACATTATTTATACACTTAAAGGATATACATTTATAGGAGACATTGGAGTCCGTGTGCTTATGACTAACTAATGTGCAAATGAATACATATCTACATCAGCCAAGAAATCAAGAGTTAATTTGAAGGATTAAATTTAATTAATCGACTACCACTTACATCAGTTATTAGCCAGGTTAATTATGAATTATTGCTGCACTGTCCAGCTTAAAGCAAGTTAACCCAATATCTCTGCAAAACGCCGAGCTTGCCCAGCTTCAGCATGTCCACTGTACATTATTATTTATTTGTATTATATACAAATCCAAATGAGGTATGAAATCGAAATTTGAAGCTTCATGTCTCCCCTGAATTTATACCGAAATTCCACATAAAATATAGCCTTTATTTCTTTCGAGTTCACTCTTATCTTCATATTTTTTTTGCTTACTGGAATTAATTAAAGGCCTGTCATTAACATCACTATGTACTTCATAGGTGTATTGACATAATTATTATCTTCTAGGAGAGAATTAGGCATTATGACGTATTATCTCTTATTGTCAGCATCCGTTTGTTTATAATTAGTGGTTTGTTTTAGGGAACTGACGCTGGTTGAAATGTTGGTGGTACTGAATACACCATTTCCGTCTGACTTCATTAAAACCGATTGAACAGCATGTACAGTTCCACCTGGTATCATGTTCTGGTGTCACTGACAAGGACCCAGTAGCTCAATGGATGTGAATTACGTTTTGGTCTCTGGAATTTAAGGAATGTTAGTCCTACAAGTAAAATCGTTAATGCATATCAAGCCCGTTCTGTATGCTTTATGTGCTTGTCTGAGTTTGAGCTGTCATGTACTTTCTAAGGTACGTCAAGAACAGATATTAATTCGGAATTAGGGGTTCATCTGGACCAAGTTTCGGATCCAGCATTACTTGTTTCGCCAATCTTATCTCTCACTAGATCAATATTATTGATCATTGCCAAGCTTTGTTCCCCCACAGTTTCTACAGTTGATGACATTTTATTGCGAAATCGAACCCGTCTTTTATAGTGTAAAATCATTCTTATAGTCCCTGAGGGCTAAAGTGATTAAATAAATTGATAAACCGCCATATATTAAACTCATGCTTTATCCTACTTTTGACTTATTGGGTTGATGTACTTGTATTTTACAATTATTAATCGATCTGGGTCTCTGAACCTTTAGTCTGATATCAGGATTTTATCCACTTTGCTACTGAGTCACTAAGTAGTAGATAGTGTTGTGTCTGTTTGTTAGTTCTGGTTGTTTCTCCGATTGAGTTTTTGTTACTATATGTTGGTTAGGTAGTATTTGCATCTTAATTCCACAGACGCTTAGTCTCCTTCTGAATAGCTTTATGACGTCTCTGGTTGTAACACTGGGTAATTTTGGTTCTGATTCTAGGGAAGATAATCAGTTCCATCAAGATTTAACTCGGCAAATTAATGTACTAGATCTTACATTGAACTCGCGAGGTGTCTTTTGTTCTATAAAATGTAACAATTTTTTTATATTCACGAATATATTCATGAACGTATATATTGGTATTTTCCTTTCTGAAATAAAGCCCACTGTAGCAACGTAATTAAGATTAAATTATCTGTGGTCAGTTTTTTCTATCTTTCCCACTTGCTCTAGTTGAACATTTATTTTTATGAAATAATTTTAGATGATTAGTTTGTCTCAAACTCACCGTGCCATCATTGAACTGTTGGAGTTGATGCGATGTGATAATTGCGCCTCCACTCTCCACCAGCCATTCACGACTGGAGTATGTGAACATCTGCTATGTTCTTCATGTATTCCAAGCCGAGGTAATGTAAAGGCTGCAAGTTGCTGTCCAGTTTGCTCAATTCCCGTACATGCACGCGATTTCCAAGTCCATCCACAGTTTACATCACTCGTATTGGTTGCACGTCGACTAAAGAAATTAACGATGAATACTTCTCAAGAGAAAATAAAAGATTCTCAGAATTCCGTAATTGGTATGTCCTGATAACTTGTAGGGTCGATTTTGCTTACACAAAACTAAGATCAGTTATCACTGAAGTAGTTTAGTCTAAATATATTGTAAAGGTCTCATGTCACAAATTTACTGCTTAGAACTTTTCAAATGGTTAATATTGAAGTAGCTTTAAAATCCTATTTCTTATTTGATATTACATTAGTTTTGTACTACATCAACACCTCAGTATGGTAAGGCACCTAAAATTCAATTCTATAAGTTACAGTACTGTGCACTGAATCTTTTCTCATTCATCTTAAAGTGGTTTTTTGTACGCCATATACTAGATATATTCACTTAGTGAGTTAGGGATCAAAAATATTCCACTCAGCCTCCTTTATGGATATTTTAACTACGTAGCCAGGTTTTTTAAATGGGAAATCCCGTTCTGCCTAGAAAAGAGTTGTAATGTAGAGCGTCGAAATTAATTTTATTATTAACATTACCAAACTTCATGTTATTAGGGAACTGAACGCTTTCGTATGTGTTCGCGCCATTACGATGGGATGTAGCAATAAATGGGCCACACCACGTAGAAGAAAGATGTACAACGAAAATGTTATCAAAATATTTAAGGAAAAATTGCAAATGTGGGCGAAACGAACAAAAGATTCCACTTATTTCAGTATTACAGCTGCATCACGATCATCATCGGTTTTGATTTTAAATCTGGAATCTTAAAAGATCAAATTAATTTGTTAATATCGCCTCTGTAATAACATCTATAGAGTAAAAATGGGCTGGACGTCAGTTCGATACAACTGTCCTTCACATCACTGCTTTTTGACTAGTATTAAGATCTTCAAACAGTGCTCTGTATGGAAGTCGTAATGCTGTATATAAAATATTTCTAAATCACTCAGACCGGGGTTTTAAGATGACTGTTTTGATTGAAAGGTAGTCCATATTACTAAAACCCGGAATTGCTCACATGACGTTGTTAGAGGGTACAAGCAATACTGTCAAATAGAACTATTAAGTATACAATGCTCATAAAAGCCATTTTATACAAACGTTGGACTGATTTACTTGGACCGTGGGCGTTTTATATCTGGCCTTTTGTAGCCAACAGAAACGTCAAGCTTACTGACCATGATAAATATTAAAAGTTAAGTGAAGAATAATTCATGCCATATGAAAATAAAACAGTAGGTAGGAAGTAAACGGTGTAATAGTATAATCAGATTTTGAGTGCTTATCAAATTATTTTTGTTGTGACTTTAAACCTGGATCGCTTTTTACCCCGTGCCAATTGTTGTGTCCTTGACTGCAGATTAGAGTGAAGTGCTTTATCGATCGATTCAGTGACACGTAAACCATGTACGGATGGCCTAAAGTCTCAATTAGTCCCGCTTCCCTGTCTAGCCCAGCCAGTTGAGTCCAGAACACAAGTCTCAGCCTCTGAGTTATGAATCATTATATTTCAGACATACTCTATTTATATACCAATCAATTAGACCACATCGTACCATAAAATAGAAAACAACATTTGTACAATATTTGACAAGTGGAATAAATATTGACCAATAGGAACTGTCCATTTAAAGTCCAAGGACACCATTAGACTTAACATGATAATTATTGGTATATTCCTCTGCATCCCTAACAATTTTTAATCCCTCGTTTTTGGGTCCCAATAATTTGTATCAATGTAGTAGTACCCATCCGGTTTATTGGCCAAAGTACCTAGTCTATGCAGATCACCCGCAAGCTTTGGATCGGAGGATCTAGTTAAAAAAATAGTAATGTGAAGAAATGAACTGCAATGAGACGTAGCGATCGGAACAGATCTAGATACTATTCAGTTCTTCAAGTTCCTAAAGCCTATTTCAACTCCATCATGTTAACCCTCTTATCTGCTTATTTTGTCCAAACGCTATGGCTTAGCTTTTATCCTCTAAATCCTATAGTAACTATTTTCTAGAAGTACCTGTAAACATGCGGGGACTTAAGGAGAACAGATCGACTTTTCACTTTATCTGTGCGTGAATATTTATAGTCAACTGGTATCTGTAACCTAGAAAAACCTATTGTTCAAAGATCGAATAGTGTTGCAGCCAAATATATATTGCTTTTGAAATGTTCCAGTGTAGTATTGTGTTTGCTTTTATTTCTCACCAGTTTTTTCATAACTAGCGGTTTATGACTTAATAGGAAAGCATACGTTTTAAATACACTCAAATTTGACTCTAAATCACTTTCATGAGTGGAAAGTCACTGTACAAACATCGGTTCATTCTTCGTATTTGTTTAGCCTAAAAAATGTAGCGATCGTTTTCTTCATCTTTGTTACAGAAAATAATATTCCTGATGCAACTAAAAATGAGATTATGTTACCACAAGTGGTAATTAAGAAGGCCTATTCTTCAAGACAACAATTATCTGAAGATAAAGATTCAAAGCGGTAAGATTTTATTTCTATAGTCTTTAGAAATGAGTATGTGGTACCGAGTTAACAGCACATATGTTTTTGTCAACCTTCTTGATACAAAAGAAACTAAAGGTTTCATGCTCATTTTGTTTTCTCAACTATTAAAAAAATTGACCTATTGACTGATTTTGGCACCATAATAAATTGAAATCAAGATATGGTTAGCAATAAATATCGTTCAGTCTTTTTCCAAAGTAAAATAGGTACCTTGATAGTCGATTTCGAGTTTGGGCTAATGCATGGACATAGTCAAAATTTATTTACTACTCAATCGACAGTTTAAAAATGGTTACATGGTCGAAAGTATTAAAAACAGAAAATAGTGTTATCTAAATTAGACGTTTCTCGCAGCTATCTCAAGGTTATCATCCACTTCATCCATACCAGTTCGAACTTAAAACTTCAATTTCTCTTACAGAGTTATCTGAAGCTCACGATGAAAATCCTTCTAATATGTCCAAAAGGAACTGACCTTGGTATCTTTCACTCAGTAAATCATTTGTGGCATTACCGAGATTCATGTGTGTTTATTATATTGAGCTCGATTGAAGATGATATATAAGAAGACTGTAAATGCTTAACTGTACATACCTCAAAGTATTACTAACGTATGTATATTGCAAATGTTAAGTAAATACTGAAAAATCAAGTTTTGTGTTTTAGACAAGGAATGCAAATTGATTTGTGAGGTTCTAGAGTTCATTAGATCTTTTCTCCACATCGTTTTTTTCAAGATTAGTTTACTTCACATCATAAAAATATATGATTTTCTCACATTAGATCAAACCCTCAACTTAGTTTGCTATCATATCTCACTGAATTAGAACTACTGAATATGTTTACTGCCTTCATCCTGCTGTCAAAGTACATAGTTCAGACATTGTAACTTACAGATACCTCACCTGAGAGTTACTTTGATTTATTGGTTGGCTTTTCCTATTGTAGAAACTAAATGTACCCATTGACTAAAACACTTTTTACCTTAAGGTCCCATTACACATAAAATCTTTACTATGATAAGAATTGATTTGCCTTGTGAACCACCTGAATAGGTTTTTTCTTAGTTTTATTCTTATCCATCTCATTAAATAATTTTTATGTTCATTTTACTTACATTTAGTCCAATCGGTGTAAGTTATAAACGTGGGCATTCCTTGGTTAATAGTGATACAAATATATCTACTGCTGATACATTTGTATCCAATGTTTGTTCAACTGGTAATGATTCATGCATTAATTTCAAACCTCATTATCCTTCAAAACATGATGTCAAAGCCAATAAGAAGCAACGATTAAATAAAGTGACTAAATTACCTGCTTATTCAAGCTCTGATATTCATCAAACATTATCAGTAAATTCTGTCAACGGAAATGAATCATGTGTTTCTCTTGATAAACCAATTGAATCACTTTCTGTAGAAGCTGTTGTTGTACATGACACTAGAAATGCTCGGAATAAAATTGTATCAAAAGTTTGTAAAGATAAGATAGAACCTAAACAAACGGTAAGTTCTCAAGTAAAAATATCCAATTACTATATTCACAAATCTGTTGTTTCTTCTTTTAGCTTTATTGAACTACAGTAACTAAAACGGTATCATTGCGATATCAAAACACATTGTTTCGAAACAATCTTCGATACGAATATACACCGTTCATGTGAAATTTATTTTCTTCGCATAATCTTATTACGTTTAATGATAATTACTTTTTGGCTTTGTTTATTCATCCTTTCTACTTTCTTCGAACTATTGAATAGTATAACTACTTTGACTTCGCTGTAGGTCAGCAGCTTAGTCATTCGACTCTGCTTATTCTCTTGTCAGCTCACGACATTTTCTATAAGCTTAAACATGGTTAATGGTTATTTAATTAAGTGTTGAACTTTATACACTTTCGGTATTGATTGTGCTCGTCTCGTTTGTTGTTCACTATTTAGTAACGTTTTGCACTTTTTTATTGTAGATGCCTAGCAAAATAGATGTTCCAGTTCCATTCGCTTCTCCTGAACCTTCTCGTTTAACAGATCAGTCCACTTTATCTCCGTCTGATCCGATTTCATTTAAAACTTCTGTCTTCCTTACACCTGTCGATCTACCAATAAATAACGAGAATAAAGCAGCAAATTCAAAAAATTCAAGTATCTCAAAGAAGAATTCTAAGAAGATCCAAAATAATGTTAAGAAAGTTGTTCCTGTTCAGGATCGTAAGTCATCTGGATTTCTCAATTTACTACACAAACTAAGACCAAATAGCAAAGGTGAAAGCCAGCTACATAGGGCAGCAATTCGTGGTGATACTAGTCAAATAGAAGAGTTACTTTCCGCTGGGTTATCACCGAATATTCGAGACCATGCTGGTTGGACACCATTGCATGAAGCTGCGTTACGTGGACACTGTGAAGTGAGCATCAAACTAATTTCAAGTATTTATCAGTAATTTGAAGTTTCCTTGTTATTTATATATGAAAATTGACTGATAGGTTTGTTTTTTCATAGGTCGCTAAAGCTTTGATCAAAGCTGGAGCTACCGTAGATATTCCTGGTGGTCCGGATTTAGAGACTCCTTTGCACGAAGCTATACAGAATGGACAAGTCGACTTCTGTCAACTGTTGCTTGACCATGGTGCTAATCCTATGTTTCCAAATAATAATGGGATAATTCCAATACAACTAGTGGATAGCAGTATATGCCAATTAAAAGAACTGCACAATTCAGATTCTAAATCATCAAAGTATAATTCCCTTCTCAATGCATTATCTGACATAAGAAATATGTTAAATAAAGCATCATTATCTACCACTGTATCAGATAAAGATTGTCTGACTAACAATAAAACTTTAAGTATTTTATCTGTCTCTTCTGCAACCACTTTCATTGAAAGGTAGGTTTGAAAATGTTTACGTAAACACCATATTTAATTTCAAAGTGTATTGTTATTTTTAGCCGGATTAAATAATTTGTGTATACCTGTGAATTCAATATTATCATACTTTATTTAATAGCCAAACTTTTATTCCTTCGTGATCTTAATGTAAAATGGGATCATTGAACTAATCATTGACTAAATGTGTAACAGAAATAATAATAAGCAAATTCCGTATCAACCAAATTCATGGATTGAAAACTGTTTATTTAACCCAAATATACTGTAATGCTTTTTATAGTGTATATAGTAATGTACTTCCAGGGAGCAATAATTTGGATGGTTCGGAACTATCATTACTGTGATTTCATTCATATTAAGGGTATCAGGTCTTCCTTTGAGACATCTAAAAAGTTGATTTCTTCACTTAGAACTCCAGGCATCATCTAGACTACAATATATTCACCATTGTATATGTATCATGAATTAAAATTTTTGAAACTGGTGATAGTAGGAAAACGTATTATGGTTATTTTTTGAGGATTATCTTTCACCTATTATTTATAAATAATGCATTATTATTATTTAATCGAGTGTTTCATTTTCTAAAATAATTCAAATTTTTATTATATATTTACCGTTATTCTGCTTTAATTAATCCTTTGAATGTTCTTATTTATTTAAACTAAAAGACGACGTCTTCGACCTATTCTTCTGGGTACTGGTCTAACAAGAACTCAACAATCATTGTTCAGTCGTGTTGCCACTATGATACATGCACGTGTGTTCTCATCAATCTCACCTGAAGTTACGCATGTCGTGACTGGTGCACTTCAAGAATTATCCAGCGATGTAGTCGATGAAGAATCAGTTAATAAAACAAAAAAGAAAAATAAATCTAAAAGAAATTCCCGTTCCCTCAAAAATGATAATGAATTGCTCAGTTCCAATGGCCAAGCTACTTGCCCACGTACTTTGAAATTTCTAAGCGCTGTTTTACAGGTTATTTAATGAAATAGTTTTGATCTTTTCTCTCGTTTTTTATTACTTTACAATGTGTAACAATAGGTTATTTATTTTAAAATATGGCCTTAGAAGGTTGATATATTGAAAAACTCTCCAACATATATATACTATAAACAGTGGGCAAGTTCAGAGATTCATTTATTAATTTTAAAATATTGTTTATTAATATCTGTATTTAAAATCTGAGTTATGTTGTTAAATTCTGCAAGCGCGGATATCATGTTAATTAGTATCGGTAATTGAATTCTGCAAGCCTTAGAGCAATACTTTTGTATCACATGTCGGTTTAACCGAATGCATTTCCAAAAATATTGCATAATCTGCAAATTTTTATCCAGTTATTTGATACTCATGTTCATTCAAATTGTTCAGTCAGGTATATCTAATTTGAACAGTCGTACTCTCATAACTACATTTCTGTGCCCTGTATGAGCTCTTCATCTAACAAGCAAACTCTCTATTCTTATGTAGCTAAGGGGACAAACTTTTCATGGTTCTGAGTGATTTTTAACAAATTATGCAATTTTCTTCATTTCACTAGGACATGACAAAGCAAGTGCTTAGCAAGTTTTCATTTTTAAAAGTTCTTATTCTTCAGTTCAAGGTATTTCCAGATATGTATTTTCACTATGTTTTTCCGAAAAAAAGATTTTTGAACTATCTTTCAGGTTATCCGAAATTCGAGTATTTTTTTAGAAATCTGGTAGTTCGAAATTTCTGGAATATTTTCAAGTTACTTTTGCATATATAAGTAGTTATGACTAAGATTTACAGAAAATGGTTTTGTTATCATTGTTATGTTACAAGATCATGCATTTTATTTCCATCAGGTCAATTAAATAGGGTGATAATACACCAAATTCAAGTATTTGCAATTGACTGATCACCGATGTCATACGTGTCTTGTCCTTCTTAGTGTTGATCGAATTCCGTCAATCAAATTTCAAGTTAGTCATTAATCTAGGCGATTCGACATCGCGTGTAATATTCTGAGATGTAAGGTGATGGTTGAAAGTAGTCGACAAGAAACCCTGTCTTAAGGCAACCTATACTTCCCCATGGACTTAATCCCGTGTCACTGCTTCCCAATTAGAGATGTTACCACAGCTATTCACCTCCAAACATCAGCTTAGGTGGTATTTGAGTGTAAGTTATATGGAGTTTATGGGTCATATAGGTTGAATTGTCCTAATTTTGACACAGTTTAGATGTTCATGTTTTTTAAAAATCCGTCATCTTTTCTTATTGACATCATTTAGGGATGTTGGATCTTGTCATTTGATTGGATCGAAACTTGTGCTCATATCAAGATGCGTGTAGAAGAAGAAGGCTTTGAAGTAACTGGGTGTAGTACTGCCCCTATGTCCGGTGCACCTCGTCGAGCACGTCTCGCTCGTGAAGCTGGCTCTTTGGGGTTATTTCATGGTTTAAACATTTGTTTCCTAGTATGTTTCCGTCTTTATACTTTTTTAATAATAGGCAAATTGAATTTAATGCTTATTTACTCGACAATAACTCATCAAAATAACAATAGTTATGATCAAAAGATTCTTGGTATAAAGTATGGAATAATCAAATTCATTTTTGTTTATCATAATCGACTGTCATGAAAAAAATTAGGTGGATATCAAACTTCATTTGTTTTACTTTATTTTTGTATTTGGAAAACTTTCTCGATATATATAAGGGTTGGAATTTTAAATTAAATTGCTATGTTATTAACCAACAAGTGTTGAATGATCTCAGTCAGTTAGACGCAACGTAGGACTTGGCACATATGTACGTCGGTTCAAGTTTCTATACCCCATCAGGATAACGAGATGAGATTTCCAGGGCAAATCTCAAAGTATTAGAGGTAGTAATATTATTTTGAATGGTAATAGGAAAGATTAGGCGTCTGAGATATAATTCGAGTCTTGTTTTGACCACCCCTAGATTTCTTCCTAACTACTCCTACGATTCACGAGCCTCGTCCAGAATAACCTAAAACTGTTATATATATATATATATATATATATATATATATATATATATATATATATATATATATATATATACAGAGAAGGATAATAAAAATCAAAAATAATATATAGTAGTAGTCATATAAAAATGGGAAAAACTTATTTACATTAATATTCAGTCAGTCAGTCAGTAACAACGTAGAACTTCGTACGTACGTACATCAGTTCGAGTTGCCATACCACACTAGCACAGAGATGCAGTTGTCGATTCAAATCCCGTAGTGGTAAATGTAGTAAAATTATAAGCAGTAATCGGAAACATTAGGGTTTGAAGATGTTATTTAAAGAGTATAATCCAGCGAAATAAATTTGGAAAGAGGAAAAAAGGGACATGAAGAATTCAGAAGATTAGAATTTGGGAGAACACAAAGAGTGGATGCACCTGCGCCATTGCAAACGATTTTGAGCCATGTCATTCAGGGTCTCTAACCATCGGTTGCTATCATCTCGTGGTCCCCAACCAGGTAGTCTACACTTACCAACATGACTCAGTCCATTTGTCAGTGACTTCATGGACTTGTGCCATGTTTTGGTCTGGCCGCCCCTAGCTTTCTTCCAACCTACTTCTATACAACAAAATATCGCACGTCGAGGCAGTCGGTCTTTGGGCATACGTAACACGTGTCCCAGCCATCTCAACTGATGAAGTTTCACTACGTCATCAATTGATTTGCCATCCTCACCTAGTACCCGTTTTCTAACAACTACATTACTTACTCGATGGTCCCAGGATATACGAGCAATATTTCGAAGACACCTATGATCAAATACCGACTACCTCGACGTGCTATGTTCAGTGGTATAGGAGTGAGTTGGAAGAAAGCTAGGGGCGGCCAGACCAAAACATGGCACAAGTCCATGAAGTCACTGACAAGTGGACTGAGTCATGTTGGTAAGTGTAGACTACCTGGTTGGGGACCACGAGATGATAGCAACCGATGGTTAGAGACCCTGAATGACATGGCTCAAAATCGTTTGCAATGGCGCAGGTGCATCCACTCTTTGTGTTCTCCCAAATTCTAATCTTCTGAATTCTTCATGTCCCTTTTTTCCTCTTTCCAAATTTATTTCGCTGGATTATACTCTTTAAATAACATCTTCAAACCCTAATGTTTCCGATTACTGCTTATAATTTTACTACATTTACCACTACGGGATTTGAATCGACAACTGCATCTCTGTGCTAGTGTGGTATGGCAACTCGAACTGATGTACGTACGTACGAAGTTCTACGTTGTTACTGACTGACTGAAATACTAGTAACCTACGAATATCCTCTACTCTTACCAGCCATGTTTCACTGCCATAAAGTAGGACGGAACGAACTGATGCGCAGTAAACACGTCCTTTGGTTGATAGACGGATATCTCGCCTACGCCATAAATGACGCAAGTTGGTAAAAGCTAGTCGAGCCTTCTGTATCCGTGCTGAGATTTCGTCACACACCAGACTACAAGGGCTGATGAGACTTCCAAGTAAAGTGAAGCGATCGACAAGCTCAATTACTTCACTCCCTATCATTAGTTCGGGTGTCAATGCAACCCAATCCTGAAGCAACATTTTACATTTCGCATCCCGAACATGCTTGCATTGTTGCTTAGAGTGGTCATAAGACTCTGCATTTTGTCAGCGTCTTCACGAAATAAAACTATGTCGTCGGCATATTCCAAGTCAACAAGTGAGTTTCCTGGTAGAAGTTCAACCCCTGGAAATTTAGATGAGGAGAGTGTTATCTCTAAAAGTACGTCGACCACAAAGTTGAACAAGAATGGAGAGAGTGGGCAGCCCTGACGAACACCACTTGAGGTAATCAATTCTGATGACAGTTCGCCATAAGCTTTCACTCTGCCAGTTGTGTTCGAGTAGAGAGCCTTTATAAGGTTAATGTACTTCTTTGGTACTCCTTTCAGTGACAAACACTGTCATAAAACCTCACGATCGACAGAGTCGAATGCCGCCTTAAGGTCGAGAAATACTACGATTGTGGGGCGTCTGAACGGTTGTCTGTGTTCTAGAACCTGACGTAGTGTGAATATGTGGCCTATACAATCACGTCCAGGTCGAAAACTAGCCTGGTTTTCTCTAATCTGCTCTTCACGAGCTTTGATTAGGCGTCGAAGTATTATTGAAGCTAATATTTTAGACACTATATTAGTCAAACTGATTCCTCTGTGATTGTCACAGGAGGACTTATGTCCTTTCTTATAGACTGGCACAATCAGTGATTGAGACCAGTCAGATGGGATTACGTCCAGTTCCCAAATTCTACCTAAGACCTCGGTTAATCTCATTGCTAATACTGGACCACCATCCTTAAAAATCTCAGGAGTAAACCTGTCAGGGCCTGCTGCTCTCCCTCGTTTAAGATTTCCTATGGCTTTTTCAACTTCGTAAAGGGACGGAGGACCTACATTAACTTGCCATTCAGGTTGACTAGAGATCGTGGGAAATCGAAGTGTGACTGAAGGCCAGTTGAACTGACCCCTAAAGTGTTCTGCCCATCGATCCAATCTCCTGGATTGAGAATGTATAATATGTCCATCTTTCTCTGAGAGTGTTTCGCTAACGGTTGGGTTCCTAATTCCGGTTTCCTTAACGAGTCTGAACAATTGTCTGCTATTACCTATTGCCGCTGCCTTTTCCATCTCTCTTGCTTTCGCTACCCACCACTGTTCGCGATCATTGCGTAGACTTTTTGTCAGCTTGCGCTTAATCTGACTCCGCTCTTCATTATGTTCAGATCCAGATGGAATGAGTTTTTGGGCATCTATCAGTGCGGTAGATGCTGCTGAGATCTAGTGTTACTCCCTAACCTTACGGTTTACCGTACTAGCAGATATCACTGCTGTTTCCACAGCTTTTCGGATATCGTTCCACTCTGCCTCGGGGTAGGCATCACATACAAGGCTGCCTAACTGTTTTCCTAGTTGTTCCTGAAATATACTCTTAGCTTGACTATCATTAAGTAGGGCCCTAAGAGGTTTCCTTGCAGCGTCCTTCCTACGTCCAGTAAGACGCAAGCAAATACGCGCTCGCACTAGAGCATGATCTGAATCTAGGCATGTGCTCCAGAATGAGCGACAGTCTTCCATCGAGCCCCTCCATCGGTGGCTGATAGCGATGTGATCTATTTGGGTCCAACGTTGGGACGAATTAGGGGGTCGCCATGTTAAAAGATGTTTTTCCTTATGCTTAAAGTTAGTATTTGCAAGGAACAGGCGGTTATCTGAGCATAGCTGCAACAGACGGTCGCCATTATCTGTTCTTTGAGTCACGACACCATAATATCCACGCAGGTGTCTTTCCCTATCGCTTAGTTTACCTACTTCAGTATTAAAGTCACCGGCCACTATTACTACATCCGAGCGCTTTTCGGAGGTCCGAGAGCTTTCTGTAAAACTCATCTTTTACATCATCTGAACTGCAGTCAGTGGGAGAATAGGCAGAGACGACGAAGAGGCAACGACGAGTGTCCCTATCTTTTCGGATCCTTACTGTTCCGTTTAGTCGGACAGCGCACAAACCACTGTCTACTGGGATCCACTCTAAGATAGCTAGTTCTGCCCTAGAACTCAATGCTATACCTACGTCGGCGAGGTCTCGAGAAGCAGAATCAGGGCTTCCAGATACACGAAGTGTGAATCGAGTCGGTTCTTTATTTTGGCATGGTGAGGTCAAGTGAATGACGCTACTCGGATCCTGTATGCGTGTTTGGGAGACACAGCACACATTGATGGCGCGAGATTCTAAAGTCCTAGCTAAGGAAGCCTGTTGTCCTATTTGGCACAGTGTTCGGACGTCATAAGCTCCAACATAAAGTTTGTAGCGTGGTTTTAGGAGACCAGGAATAGCGTTCCACGTACTCGAATCGTTTGCCCTAGCGGTGCGAGGTGATAAAGAGACGTGAGGAGGGTTAGTCATGGAGATAAGAGAGGTATTAGGAGGTGTAGGAAGGATTTGAATGTGACCAACTTGGTCTCGTGTGCTGTTACGGGTATGAGGGCTGATGTCACTTGCCGGCTGCCCACACCGTGGAAGGGTATTTCTTGAGAAACCTGAAAAAGAAGTCGGATTGGTGTTAATCTTAACGACCTGGGAGCGTGACCGCAGAGCCCAAGGGACAACTGCTTGAGACCGGTCGCGCACGGCCTTTTCGTGAAAGATTTTTGACGTGTTTGCTCCGTTCTTCATAGGGCCTTACTGCCGGAGACGGGAATCCGTGAGGTAAGGTGAGGTGTGACATTTTTAGGGTCGACCTTTTCTAACCCCACCCCTCCTTGTGGGAAGGCAGCATCGCTGTCATGCTGGTTGTCTGAGGGAAACACCTTACTGCTGTCACACCCCTCTACAGTCAGCAGTACGACTTCGCCCTCAGACCTTGAGTTGCTGTTTTTAGTCTTACCGTTCTCCAATCGACCTGCCTGGCATGGTAGAACCTACAGGAACATATGTTCCAGCCAATATAGCTTGGTTGGTTCATCACGATAGGTAAGCCCGACCACCGCGCCAAGGCAGTATTTATAGTCGTAAATCCTTATCATGTTTCATTTTAACCGAATAGTTTATACATTTTACAGTCAACATCAGCTAATTTTTCCCGCCTTTCGGGAAGTGGATTTAATGCCGAAGATTATATGCTTGTTTTCTGCAACAAATAAGTGGTTTCATGAGAGTTAATTAGTTTCAATAAAGATATTGGCTCATAGATTTCATACGTGTCACTAGATGAATTGTTTTACATAACCAATCATATGTTGTTGAGTTTCTTTTGTAAATTAAGTGCTACCTAATTGTCGTTTTTCTGCAGGGGAACTTCGTATATCCTGTACCATCCAGGGATGAGCTTACTCGATTAGCGCGATCTGGTGGAGCAAGTGTAGTATTCAGTCGTGATGTTTGCTCTCCGATTCGGCTCGCAAGATATGCTATTGAGTCTGCAAATAATTCATCTATTTGGGATTTAAATACCGTAGAGGGGAATCAAGAGTTTGATCAAGAGACTAATGACAATATTTCGTTTATAGATGAAATCACAATGATTGATTCGAATAATCCTTCCTCCTTGCTTGTTTTATATGATCCGGGTGTTTTGAGTAAACCTAAAAATGAATCATGTAACAAATCTATATATGCTGTAGAAACCGTTAGTAAAGCGCTTAATTTAATCAAACCGAAAAAATCTACAAATACACTAAATTCATTGGCAGATGACTTACCACCACCTCTTCAATCGATACCATGTACTTGGCTTTTAGACTGTGCTGCAGAATATCGTCTACTTCCTTTTCCCAACTGCTGATTGATTGTTTGTAAATATTTTACACATCTATCAAATTTATAACCTTATTTATTATCTAAACTGATATATATATATAACGATTATTTTAATTTGCTTCAGTCAATTTCAATATAATTTTTGAGATCTTTAGTTTGCTTCTTATCGGGAAAAATTCTTATTGAGTAAAATAAATGTAATATGTTGTTGGGGCTGCGTTATTGGACTTGTGTAGTACATTTTAATTTCATTAATCCATAAGAAATCCCATAATAAACGTAAAGGTTATTGTTTTCATAGTATTAAGCCAATATTTGTTGAAACTGAACACCGTATTCAAATTTCAATTAGATGGACAACACGGTGGCTGTATATTTATTTGATGAGTTGTAAATATAAGGGAAGGTACATCTAATATGATTATAATAATAGTATCATATCCCCATTAATATGCGGCAAAACCGATGCGACAATAAATTCTATGAAGTTAAATCGTTGAGTAGTTGACAATAAGTACTTACGGTTGATAATAGAGTCTCTCCTTGAATTGTTGATCTGGAAAGAAAACAACGTTTAATAAGAATATTTGACGGGAAGCAGTGAATAATGGTTAGGTGAATTTCCGCACTTGAAATTAAAGCGATAACAGCTATTCGAACACCTATAACTCAGCACTTCAATTAATAATCCTTACACTGTTTTGATGAGACTAATTGATACTCCTTAGGCTAGAAACATGTACACGAACTTCTCAGATTGTAACCAAAGAAGTATACTGCAAGTTGTTTCAAGGTTAATCACCATAAAATATTGTTGTTCCCCGTTTTCTAAATAAAGTAAGTCATAGTAGACATGTATTAACTGAATTTCGAATTGTTCTTCACTTCTTGCATTTCAAAATAACTTCGAGTAGTTTGGTTTAAGTTCTTTCAATATTTCACACAGGCAAAGCTTAAAAATTGTCTTTAGAAGTATTTCCATGAAATATCCAGTGTCAAAGTAATTAAAATTTGTTTTAAACGAATCATCAATTGTATCTTCAAATTCTATTTTAATATGATATCGCTTCACTCATGTTCATATACATTAATTCAAATTGCTAGTTCTCTTATCATGGACCAAGTAATTCAAATAAATTACTTACTTACGCCTGTTACTCCCAATGGAGCATAGGCCGCTGACCAGCATTCTCCAACCCACTCTGTCCTGGACCTTCTTTTCTAGTTCCATCCAATTCTTGTTCATTTTTCTCATGTCTATCTCCATTTCTCGGCATAATGTGTTCTTTGGTCTTCCTCTTTACCTTTGGCCTTAAGGATTCCATGTGAGGGCTTGTCTTGTGACGCAGTTGGGTGCTTTCCTAAATGTGTCCTATCCACTTCCAGCGCTTCTTCCTCCGCTGGGATCTGGTTTGTTCTCTCCCACAGTAGGTCGTTGCTAATAGTGTCCGACCAACGGATCCGAAGTATTTTGCGTAGACAACTGTTAATAAGCACCTGCATTTTCTGGATGATGGCTTTCGTTGTTCTCCAGGTTTCTGCCCCATACAGTAGAACTGTCTTGACATTTGTATTGAAAATCCTGACCTTGGTGTTGATTGACGATTTTTTTTGAGTTCCAGATGTTCTTCAGTTGTAAAGATGCTGCTCTTGCTTTGCCGATCCGCGCCTTCACATCTGCATCAGATCCACCCTGTTCATCAATGATGCTGCCCAAATATGTAAAGGTTTTTACATCTTCCAAATCTTATCCGTCAGGTGTGATTGAATTGGTGCATGCTGTGTTGTATCGGAGAATCTCGCTTTTCCCATTGTATATGTTGAGACATACTGCTGCTGAGGTTGCTGCTATACTGGTCGTCTTCTGCATTTGCTGTTGCGTGTGCGATAGAAGAGCCAGGTCATCTGCTATGTCTTGATCGTCCAGCTGCATCCTAGCTGTCCACTGTATCCCATGCTTCCCTTAGATGTTGACGTCTTCATGAACCAGTCGATCACTAGGAGAAAGAGAAAGGGTGAGAGTAAGCAACCTTGCCTGACACCGGTCTTTACGTCGAACGACTTTGTCAACTGTCCTCCATGCACGATTTTGCAGTGTGATCCATCATAGGAATTCCGCATGATATTGACTATCTTCTGAGGCACACCGTAGTGTCGAAGAAGCTTCCATAGTGTTGTCCTGTCTACGCTATTAAATGCTTTCTAGTAGTGATGAATTCCATTCAATTGATTGTTCCACAGTGATCCGTAGTGTTGCGATTTGGTCTGTACACTATCGATCCTTACGGAATCCTGCCTGTTGGTCTCGAAGTTGGGCGTCTACGCAGTCCTTCATCCTGTTTAACAATACCCTGTTGAAGACTTTTCCTGGTATTGGGAGAAGAGTGATGCCCTTGTAGTAATCACACTTGCTGAAATTGCCTGTCTTTGGTATTTTGATGATGTGTCCTTCTTTCCAGTCTGTTGGTACTTGTTTCTCATCCCAAATCTTATTGAAGAGAATGTGGAGTATCCTTTCAGTTACTGCTACGTCTACTTTCAGTGCCTCTGCTGGAATGTTGTCTGGTTCTGCTGCTCTGCCACTCTTGATTCGTCTGATGGCCATGCTGATCTCTTCAATTGCTAGTGGGCCGACATCGATTGGGAGTCTCGAGGGTGCTTCTTCGATGTTGGGTGGGTTCAGTGGAGCTGGCCGATTCAAGAGTTCTTTGAAGTGCTCTACCCACCTGTTTCTCTGGTTTTCGATGTTGGTGATTACTTTGCCATCCTTGCTTTTCACTGGTCGCTCCGGTTTACGGTGATTTCCAGAGAGTTTCTTTATCGTGTTATACAGTTGTCTCATGTTCCCTTCTCTTGCAGCCTTTTCCGCCTTCATTGCTAGATCTTCCACATATTTACGTTTGTCGGTTCTGATGCTCCTCTTCATTTGTTTGTTTACTTCTGTGTATTCAGCTTGTGCCTTGGCTTTCTCTGCTCATGTTCGACTGGTATTGATCTCTGCCTTCTTGTTCCTCCTTTCTTGAATCTTATCCAGTGTATTAACAGTGATCCATTCCTTGTGATGGCGCTTCTTGTGGCCCAGAACCTCATGACATGTTGAATTGATTGCCCCTTTTATCCCTTTCCAGTTGCTCTCTATAGTAGTTCTCTCTCTATTGAGTAGATCATGAAAGGCCTGGAACTTGTTGCTGAGGGTTATCTTGAATTTGTTGTGTTTGTCAGTATCCCGAAGAAAAGCCGTATTAAACTTTTGTGATATTGCCCACCCCGTTGTCCAGTGCTTCTTGCATTTCAATTTCACCTTGGTGACCAGTAAGTGATGATCTGATGCTATATCGGCTCCTCTCTTGGTTCTCACATCCTCTATTGTCCTCTTGAATTTTTTGTTGATGCAGATATGGTCGATTTGGTTCTGTGTAGTGTGATCTGGTGAAATGCATGTGGTTTTGTGAATGCGTTTATGTGGGAATATAGTGCCACCTATGACCAGTTTATTGAAGGCACATATGTTTGCGAATCTCTCACCATTTTTGTTCCTTTCTCCCAGTCCGTGTCGTCCCATGATGTCTTCATATCCGGTGTTGTCCATTCCAACCTAAGCATTTAGGTCTCCCATCAGAATGGTCAAGTCGTTTGTTGGGCACTTCTCGATGATTGACTGCAGCCTACTGTAGAATTGGTCTTTAACGTTTTGATTGTAGTTGTTGGTAGGCGCATAGCATTTAATGACGTTCATTGAAATGCACTCTTTCTTTGTTTTGAAGGAGGCTTTGATGATCCTTGTTCCAAGAAATTCCCATTGTATAAGTGCATTTTGTGCTAGTTTTTATAGCATCAATGCAAATCCTTGTGTATGTATAATGTTTCGAATTATTTGAATTACAGTACGAACTAAGAATCCCAGAAATAACGCAATTGAATCAAGAAGTACTAGACAAGCACGAACGAATGTATTGTATTTAGACTTCGAAATCAAGCATTCAACAAGTACAAAGAAATCATCAGTTCATTCAAACAACACAGTATGTTGGGCATTTTCTTCTTCGTGGTCAGAGTATAACAGAAGCTCTCCTGAAGTTTGTTGTTGTTGTCTAAATTGCGTCCAATGTGTTTCACTGATCCTAAGCACCTCTAGGTTGTATCTCCTCATTTCTGCAGCAATTTGGAAGGCTCTTCCGGTGTCCCACATTGTACGAGCATTCCATGTACCTAAAGAAATGGTTTTTCTGGGTGTCAGAAGGAGCATCCGCCTCGTAACTACTGAATGAACTCGGCTTTCATCATGAGGCGTCATAACTCTTCTAAATGAAGACCTTCTGACTCCCAGGGCAGAGTTTAAAAAGTTCGAATAATTTTTTCTGGTTAGAGTTTTTTTATCGAGTTAGTTTTCTACGGGATGGGTACGCTAACCCCATACCCAACCCTCCTCTTTTATCCGTGCTTGGGACCGGCAGTAGCGCCCGGAGGGACTCCAGGCGGAGTTAATTCAAATAAATAGTTATGATATATCAGGTGTGAGTGTTGCAAACTGAGATGTATATACTTCATAGACGATTAAGAAATAATTCTTTTAATATAATACTAGATCAGAGTTCATTCACAAAGACTTGGAGAGATCCCCTAGGATGACTTTATTACGTCCGCATTTTTTGTGACTCGATTGACCATGGTTTTTCAGACAAAACATTTTTATAATAAAACCTACTGCTTATAAGTAGTGTAATGTCGTGCGAATTATTTTTATTTCAAAACAAAATACGTTTCTCTATAGGTCAAAAAGGTAGTTCATTCAAATCTTGTACAATCCTTATAAATAACTAAAAGAGTAATATGACATGTGGTTTGAAATTCATAAGTTCTTCCTCCAATATTATTTTAATCTAGTTCCGTTAATCATGATTACTACATGCACGATATTTTTTCTGCTACTTATTTTATCATATCATTGACGAATAATTGGTTGCAATAGTCATGATACTACTGACTTGAGATTCAGTACCCCACCTCCTCCAACTCCAGTCAATTCACAGAATGATGCAACTACCATCTAATGGGATCATAAAGTGGCTGGTTGACTACAGAATCGTAATCAGAGCTAGAAGATACGAGCTGTTGAATTCTAATTGAATGACTCAACTAAATTGTACTAGCTGG